TAATGATTTTTTTTCGGCCACGACTGCGAGCTGATTGAAATTCTCGAATCGTCCACCCATCGATTACAAATGCCAACCTGTAATTCTATTTAAAGTTTCGAAGCGGAAGAACGATCGAGGAGAGAGAACAGTAATAACCCGAACCGATTGCCATAAAACCAGTGAATTAAGAGTGGTGGTGGTGCGAGGACGGAAACGAGGGAAAAATCAGAAAATGAGAAGACGACTAATTTCCTTGTAAAGGAAAGGAAAGGAAAGGAAAGGAGGGAATCGATAATTCTTCGCGGAGTTCCTACCAACGAGGACTCTTGTCTTCGGTCGCGGTCCATAATTTTCAATTTGTGCAAATTAACGTTTCTGTTCTCTGCGCGTCTCCATGAAGCACGATAAATAAGGGGCCAAGCGAGTAGTAAGTATAAATCAGGAGCGATTGGATGTAAGTGGGGAGCGTTATGTGTCCCCAGTGTCCCGTGTGTGGGATCGTCCGCGGCTGTTCTATGGCTGTGAAACACACCTACGCGCGGGACACGTGGGTGAGTGGTCTGTGAGACGATGCACTATCCACGTACTTTCACCACCGGAGGGACTCGGCTAAGGCCATACTACCCCGTTTACTTCGCATCGATGTTCTTCCGCATCGAGAACTCTAGTGCATTGCGACCGACTCGTATCTCCACTATATTATATTGTATTATTCTTCTCCTCCGAATTCTTTGCTGGCCATAAATTCAATTCTCCCTTAGTATGCGTTTACAACGGTATCCTATTATCGGCTCTGTGTTAAATTTATGTGTATTCTGTATGTGGTACTGTGGTACTGTGGTACTATGGTACGTTCCGATTCGAAAATACTTTCAATTCTAACGGTAAATATTGTTTGGCAGTTTTATTTATAGTAAATCCCATGACGCGATGTACAATGTCGGATAACATCCTACAGATTTGAAATAATAACATTTCGATCGAAAGACAAATACTGTGAAGTGCAATAACGTATGCGTAAATTACGATACGTACGTACGCACTGCTTATCTCGAAGAAACAATGTAAAAGTACGATTTGAAATTCGGAGTCCACCACGAATACTCATACACGCACCAATGAAACGAAAAAAGAAAAGTTCCGGTTGAAGCGATCGGTTCACCGGGTCTTCAAACGCACACAAATGTGTCGTTGATAAGCATCTACGGATGACCTTTTTCAAACGCGTTCACCTTCCTCCCCCGTACACAGGTGCGCACTTGTGAGTGGCACAGGTGTAGTATCGATTATGCAATCTCGTGGCCTGCAGCCCCTTACAAACGGTAATGCATGAATACGCGTGCATCCCTTCTGGCCTGTACGCTACCCCAATACGAATAAACCGGTTCGAAGCCGGTCTATCAAACAGTCCTGACATTAATTGCCGCCTTACCATCGCGCCACGAAACTACCACGCCATCCACTTGACGCATATGCTACTTTTCAGATTTCCGTGTACACGCTCGATTCCGTGCATCTTATTCCCCGTGCCTTCTATACTTTTACAACGCCCCGCTGTGGTCGTTCTCGTTAATATACCTAAACAACATCGATACTGCCAATTATTTACATTTTAAACACGGTGTGCTTTCTCTTCATTCTAACAAAACCTGTAACGCGAAAAGGTTCAGCGGAAGATTCGTTCGTGGGTAAAGATTTTACAAAACTGACAAATATGCATACGGTTCTCGTACAGAGTTGTTCATCGTAGAAACGGCACGAACGTCGACGCCGACGTCAGTTGGCATACCAGGCTGCAAGGATCTTCTGTTTGCTCGAGTAGAAATGTACGAGTTATTCAAATATTGAATTCCGCGAAGATTCTGGAAATCGGGCCACTGGATACAGAATATCCGTAGAATAACAGTGGTTTGGGGGAAGGCTCGTTACGAACACAATAGAAACGCTGTTTAAATTCAAACTGTTAACAAAGTTAGTTCTACGTTTCGATTTGCTCGTATTCACTTGTGTACTTTGACATCCGTTTAGTATGTTTGTCGATATTGGTATGCTCGTGTGGGCAAACCAAAAACCATCCATGGAAGTACAACAAAGTCTTGGATTGTAGACGAGAAGTCTTCGGGAAGATTGGTTTATTTTACAATTATTTATTTAAAATCTGAGAATTGATTACGTTTCGAACGCTCGGTAGTGGGTACGCAGTCATTTTTCTTGCGAGGGAATTTGTTCAGAAATAATCATAAAAATACAAATTCTAACATGAAAATTCACCTTCAAATTCAAACTGTAATTCAATATTCATATGTCAAGTTTTCGAATAATGTAACACAGCATTTAATGTTTTCACGTAACGATATTTAAACAAGAGTAATGAAATATTACATAATTATAACGTTAATTAACATTTTCTGAACTCTCGATTAATAGGTAGGTATTATTATTTTATTAGGATAATGCATCACGTATACGAAACGTGGAAAAACATTAACAGAGCGTATCGCGTGTACATGATAACAAAAATGATTGGTAATTACTATTTTAAGGAAACATTTGAAATTGATCACGTTCCACGATTCATTCACAGTTTGAGTGCCGATGATGAAATATTTAAGAGCGTAGGAAACCGTTGATTTTCGAGTATTGTACAACGCACAATAGTGGAGCAGAATGTGCATTACACATTGTATCATTCAAGTACTTTGTTCGTGAAAGTTGTTATTAAAATCACGTAGAGTTTAATTCCTACGTTGAATAAAATTTCGATAATTATATTAAAATAACTGGATAAATGATTAGTCGGTTAATAAATGAGTAAAACATATGCAGATATAGGTATGGACGGAACACGTGGAAATCTGCAGGATGTATAAAAAATGATCAGACGACATTGTCATTCAGTTTTCAGGTTTCAGTTTTCGGTAGACCAATCGTAAATCGATAAAAGAACGTTCACTTTTAATGGTTAATAGCTGATGACGCGGCAAATGTAGTAGTCGAGCAATCGATAATAGCCGCCCGCGCCGTCGAGTTTCTCAAGAGTCGTTACTCTTGTCGATGCCACATTTCCACTGCGATACTTTGTTCGAATATTTGGAAATTATACGGGTTATGCACCGAAACAATCAGAAATAAATATATTATCAACTACACTTGCGTTACTACGATCGAGCATGTATAAATAACGGGGCTGATTCGTCTGACTATTACGTACTATTTCTACTTAGACATAGGTATCGGTAAATTAGGTATTAACGCTGTTACGATATTATTTGTTATCTATCAATTTTGTTGCTCACAATTAGTTAGAACCAGGTAAAATAGATATTGCAACAACACTGACAGTACGTACGATACAAACATCAACGCAAGTAGAATAAGACTGTATTGATCGGACACGTTAGCCAAATCATATATACGTAGACGTACATATAAAATTGCGCCAATCCTATTTTATCTATTTATCCATGTATAGTTTATCTTGCCAAAGAGCTCTCCCGTTAATAAATAAATAAAGGGTAACACGATTTATTGAGATTTATTATTAATATCTCGACAAAACGAAAGATCATATACGAATAACGTGCGAAATGGCAGCTATCGCGATGTAAATAATTACAAACCGTATGATAAATGTTTAGCGCGAAACTATATTAATTACCATAGATCGTTGACACCGTGGACAGAGAACACTAATTAGACGCATTAACGTTATTAACGCATTAGTCATTAGTGCGATAAATTTTTCACGGAACATTACGAAGGTGTTAAAACCCTACGAAACGTTTATTTAATTAATCGTTGAGTTATTGGCATGTGCGGTAATACGTTGAGCATTCATATGTAGTTGTTCGAGCGCCGTGCGTTCGCTCACGGGATGATTTTGGGTGTGCTCACTCGATGGTTAAAGCAGAATCGAAATGCGAAGAATAAAGAGCACCTTTTTAAAAAAAGCAATAATGAAAAATCACAAACGTAACGATACGGCTGTAATCTCGTCTGGGCACTCAACTTGTAGCGACGGTTTTTATCCTATTACGTCACATGAATAAACTAAAGACCGTGGAGCCTGCGACATACCGGAGGAAAGAGATCGCGAGATTGGGGGTGGAACAGATCGGTTCGACGTGTGTTACAGTTTCGAGGCCCGCGGAGAGAGAGAGAGAGAGAGAGAGAGAGAGAGAGAGAGAGAGAGAGAGAGAGAGAGA